GGGACACTTCAGCAGTGTTACTCTAAGCAATTTCAATATCTGTATTGACATGATGAGCCACAAAAGTTGCAGAACAGTTTGTCTCCAAGTGTCTAGTCATCTTCTAAGAGTTACAGTTAAAGGAAATGCAATAAAGTCAGTCAATGGGTTCTAGAACTAAGTTAATTTACCTATATTAATGTGTTTATTGCCATTTGAAATTCTCTTGTGTATGCCAATTGGCTAACAGCTGCATTTGCACTGGGACTGTCTCATTTGTCCAAATGATGCACATGTTATACATCTCGGATGCTCTAGGATACCTCCCTGTCTGAGAGCAGAGACATTTGTATTGCTCCGATTATCAACTCACCCTAAAGTAGTTATCTAGGGAGGCATTCAGTTGTTCAAATGCAGAGTCTTGAGTCATTTTAGATTCTGAGAAATATATTTCTTGTAATCTAGCTGCTGATGTAGAGTAGTGTTGTCTCCCATAAATCTTATGTTAAATATGTCAGTCCTGTAAGAGTGCCTTGGGCACTTCAAAAAGCTCCAGATATTTAAGCTTCTGAAAGTTTAAACAGTTGAGTTCTACTCTTTATGTTTGGTCAGCTAAATTGTTCTCTGGATACAATGTCTGTTGACTGTAACTATCAGGCAATTAAAAACCGAAATATGAGTACTTTATTCTTAAATGTGATTCCACTTCAAGTGACTGTACAGTGATTCCAGACAATGCCCTGAGAGATAGATAAGCTTGGGGAAAAGCCTGGTCTTCCCTTGATTTAGCCTATGCCTCATCGCTCCACTCCTAGAACTGAGACAAAAGAAAGGTTCAGAACAATGCTCTTGAAACAGTGAAGTCATCAAGAGTGTCCTGGTGTCACTCAGTCAATCCTGGAACAGGAACAAGAGAAGGTTCCAGAAATCCAGGAACTGGGGCCAATGAATACATGCATATACAAGCCTAGGAGAGGCTCTCTTTACACCAAACACCTGTAAGTAGGTCCCACGCTGGATTTAGGATTGGTGGTCTCTGTCGCTTTGTTTCTCTCTCCTTTTTTTCTCTTTGAGTTGTGTAGCAGTAAAAGGCTTGCTTTGATTTTCCGTGGAACTGTGCAGCTTGAGTGGACCCATGCCCAATGCGGGAGGGCCAATGATAGCTGTTCTGTAGAAATTTCCCATTACGTTTTATGTTTGTGTACAGAGTGTTATTTCACTTTAATCCATCCCAAAGGGATTTGTCAATGTTAGTCACTCCACTTTCCCCATAAATAGAATGTAACACATCCCTAGGAGTCATTGATGAATCATTAAAATTGTGTGTGTTAATCTTGTGCAAAAAAGAATTTTTTCATTCTCTTTTCCAGCAAAGATGTTGTTTGTAGCATTGTGAAATTACTGAAGAATTTAAAATCTTAAGTATAAGCGTTCATGCAGACCGGAGTGAGATTCTCAGCAACAGGACTGGAAATACTATTGCTCTTATTGCACGCCAAAGTCTCACTCTTGGTGATTGGAAACAAGGCTCTGGTGGTAAACTATTTATCAGTCTTACATATTTACAACTTACCATAGAGCAAATGTACCTAATAATAAACAAAAAACATATGTGAGGGACATAAATGTGTACTTTCTGTGGAATGACAAACAGTAAAGGTTTGCTCATCAGACATCTGTGATAAAGCCTTTTGGCTTTTGTGATACCCATAGCATTTAGATATCTAACTTAACATGAGCCAGCAGTGCGCTCTGGCAGCTCAAAAGGCAAATGGGATCCTGGGCTCCATCAGGAGAGGGGTGGTCAGCAGGGAGAGGGAGGTGATTGTCCTCCTCTACTCGGCTCTTGTGAGGCCCCATCTGGAGTACTGTGTCCAGGTGTGGAGCCCTCAGTACAAGAAAGACATTGAGATTTTGGAAAGGGTCCAGAGGAGGGCGACTAAGATGATCAAGGGGCTGGAGCACCTCCCCTATGAGGACAGGCTGAGGGAGTTGGGCTTGTTCAGCCTGGAGAAGAGAAGGCTGCGTGGTGACCTCATTGCAGCCTATCAATACCTGAAGGGAACCTACACCCAGGAGGGGAGTAAACTCTTCAAAAGGGCTGACAACAGCAGGACTAGGGGAAATGGATCCAAGTTGAAGGAGGGAAGATTTAGGTTGGATGTTAGGGGGAAGTTCTTTACAAGGAGAGTGGTTAGGCCCTGGAACGGGCTGCCCAGGCAGGTTGTGGATGCCCCGTCCTTGGATGTGTTCAAGGCAAGGTTGGATGGGGTCCTGGGCAACCTGATCTGAATGTGTGTGTTTGGTGGCCCTGCTAGGCAGGGGGGTTGGAACTACATGATCCTTGAGGTCCCTTCCAACCCGGGTGATTCTGTGATTCTGTGATCTAAAGTTTTAAATCAAAATAGTGGACTTGATCCCTCCTGAATCACTGATACTCACATATGAAATATGTGATGCATTATCTTCAGATGGATATTGTCTTTATTCTGTCAAGTGTACTCAGAAAGCATTGAAGAAACTGAATCCATGAATATTTGTATCCAACAGTGGATCAGGGGCAAATTTCCCATTGCAAATGAAGCTGGTAGAAGAACTAGACAATTACTGGTTACATAAACTTGAAAATAAAAGCCAACGTTTTGAATTAAGGTCAGAACTTGGCACTGAAAGCATTTGCTGTTACTAATATACGCATCCTTCCTGTAAGAAGATAGAAGACAAAACAATACATTCAGACATTTTGATCTTATGATACTAGGGCTTCATATGAGAAATTAGAGCCAACAGCTTTACTCTCCTAACATAACAAAACTTGCTATGTGTATCTAAAAATGGATTTGTGAGAGGCATTGCAGTTCTAGGGACTATTTTCAATCTGGATAATGAGCCTGACCATACGTCATCACAAAGAACTTCACAATAATATCATTTTTAAAAAAAAGAAAAACGATATATTTCCTTAAAAATATATTTTTGCAAAAAGTATCTAAAATGTAACAGTAGAAGCAAAAATGAAATCTTAAAAAAAGAAAAAAAATGTGCTGCTGCATATTCTCTGTCTTCTCTGTAGGACATGAAAAGACAAAAGATTCTAATACTGACAATAAATAAATTAATTTTAAAAAATCAGATAAAGGCATAGATGGAATAGAATAGCACAGATTCTATCTTGTGTTGGAACTGAAATATGAAAGAGATTTGAATTTGAAGGGAAGTTGTGGTCTAGGATCAAATGAGGAAAGAGAACAGTGTTGGAAGAAGGATGCAAGTATATTTCAAAGAGAGCTTTGTGACAACTGGAAGCATAAAAGAATTAAAGAATAAAAGCACCAAATGAAATGACATTCCATTTCTTTTGAGGTTTGTCTATCTGTAGCCTTAGTTACTGTGAAATTCCTTGACAACAGTAATAAAGCATTTACTCTGAGAGTCTCGACTTGTGCCCACCTGAAACATTCTTCTTCTATTGACTTAGAAAGCTTTGGGGGCAAAAATTGTGTGAAGCAATGAGCCTATTCAATATTAGACAAAGGGATAAAGCATACAATACTGGAGACATATTTTCCCTTTGCCTATAAAATGTTTCAAGTGAAAACTGCTTCTTTCAACACTGCAGACCTTGTGGGAAATGACCTGTACACTGGATAAGTTGACAGGCACAGTAGGGGATTTCATTACACCTCAGAATTTGACTGGCACAAGCAGCTTTCTCTGGCTCTCTGTAACCCCTGGCAAATGCTTGGAATTGAATCTGTAAATGTTAATCAATATTTCAGGCCTATTAAATAAAGAAAGGCATTGTGGAAATCAAAGCACTAACGGCTAGCGTGATGCTGTACAATGACTTCCAGGCCATCAAAAGCCTTGTAGGGAGCAAAAGGGCAAATATTTTAATAATACAATTACCTCAACAATTTCAAACTTGCAGAAGAATGTTACATCTTCAACCCTATCACACTAACTAAATTTTCATTTCAAACAGGTCAATGAATAGGAGCAGCTCAATACAGACATTTAATGAGTCTTTAAAAAGCTATCCTAAATCTTTAGGAAAGTATAAGACCACCTTGTGTTTAAACTTCTGCAAGCACATCCATTTAATAATAAAGATGAAATGGAGCAGAACTGTACTCAAATCCTAAAAGAGTTGATTGCATTGGATATATACACTGAAGGAGATTCATGGGTGGATTGGTTTAGCAAAGTTGTAGACAGCTACAGCATAGGATGTTGTGGTTGAACTGGTCACTAGAGGTTCATTTTGTAGAGAAGAGAGAACTTTTGGAGTACAATTTACTTCATGCCAAAATCAGTGTCTAAAATAGGTCAAATGATTTGTACCATAAGGACTTTTATTCTTCTGAACTAATTACAAGGTGATCTGAATATAGCCAAAGCAACTAAGAGAGAAATTCAATTAGAGAAGATGAATCATTGCATCCCTGTGGTATGGACATTATCTAGACCAAGAAAAAGCAAACATCCACTGATTTAAAAATTATTTCTAATTTCTTCTCCCCTCTGCAAAACAAAAATTCAGCTGTTCAACCACAAAGGGACAAATTTCTGCAGTATGAAGTAGCAGGTTTGTTTATTATTATTTTATTTTGTTTTAAACATCCTCGTAGATGTGAGAGCTGGCTGCTATTAAGGACAGTGCAAGATAGTCTTTGTCAGTTTGTGTCAGTTCAGCAACATTACTCTGACTCTGAGAGTGGAAACAGTCTCCAGGCTGCTTTCTTGACCAAATACCAACACAGGATATAATTGCCAGTCCCACTGGCAACTTACTCAACTTGCTTTTGAGTAAACTCTCTCTTGTAATATTAAAATTCAATTTTTCTGCAAAGTTATAACTATGAGGTACTGAAAGCAAGCAGAAAAAGATTCAAATCCTTTCAGGGTTAACTTAAAAAATTGCTGCCATTGGAAATTTTAATAAGACAAAGTGTTAGTCTGCCATGTGCATTCCATTCTGAAGATGAAGACTGGAAAGTTAAAATTTATTTCTTTCTTACCTTGTATTGAAATGAAATATGTGAAAAAGGAAGACTTGCTCTTGTTCTGTTAGAATAAAAAATGCAAAGAAATGGATAACTTACTGGATAACTTGTGTACCTCCTGTATACTTCTGCTCTGCTGTCTCTAATAACAATTTCATTTTATCTTTGGTAAGAATTTCCTCAATTGGCTACAAAGAACAACATGGCAAAGTTGTATTTACGTAGTGATTCAGAGCGGGTCATTCACAGTTTCTGGTCACAACATGGAGGTAGTAATACATTGTACTGGGCACCTGGTCTAGTAGCTCCACCTGAAATGATCTTTATTCCCAGGCTCTGTTACACTAAGGGTACTAAACTTGAAGGAATGCTATGGGTTAGAACCATAGAAAGCTGAAGATACTCACAAGGATGGGTATGTTACGGCAAATCTCTGCACTTGTGGAAGACTTTCAAACCTCTTGCCTCTGAGACATATCCAGGGAAAGGTAAAGCTTCACACTGTTCCCTGTCATATGCTTAGCCTCCAATACCCTTGGTGAAATGAAAGTCCTAATCATTTTCTTTCATTTAATTCCCATGTTCTCTCCCTCTTGTTAAATAAAGCACCTGTTATTTACAACTCTCATCATCCTGCTCCCAATCTAATGAGACTGCAGAAAGTTTGCCTGCAAACTCCTACTCCTTCTGTCAGCTTGACTGTCTGGGGATGCCTTGTGAAACTATTCATGTTCTATCAACACCTCCTGTTTCCTCACCCTCTTTCCTGTCTCCCTAGCTGAGACTTGTCCTTGCCTGTCATCTTCCCTCATGTCATTCCTACAGGGTTGTGTAAGATGCAAAGAGCAACATAAGTATATTTAATTTACTAGTGCTATCATATGGATCTTCTCCCATCAAGTTTCAACTACTCCCGCTGTAATTTGAGTATGCCTTATATTTTCACAGTGATGGAGTGTGTTCTCCCCATGGCACTCTGATTTTCCAATATCTTCAGGTCTGCATGAAAGACATGAAGACTGGAAAAGGCAGCTTTAATCTCTAGTAAACATGAAAAGGTTTTGAAGTGGTAGAATCAGAGCAGATCAAGCAGGGTAAAATATTAAGGCCAGGTTGAATGGGGCTTTGGGCAGCATGATCTGGTGGTTGCCAAGCAGCCTACAGCAGGGTGGTTTGAGCTCAATTAGCTTTAAGGTCTCCTCCAACCTAAGGCATTCTATCACTCTATGAAAATTCTATGATTCTATGATATTCATTCAAGAGGATAGGGTCATTGAAGGTGCTTTATGTGAAGCTGCTTTATGGGAATCAACACACTGTGTAAGGAAACCTACTAAAAAAAGTGCCACAAAGATACTTACTGAAAAACTATTTCTAGGAAGGTGGACTGATGCAATGATAAGTACATAAGCTTTGTCCAAAGTCACGAACTTTGGACACCAGCCTAGGAACCTGGTGAAAGTGCTGGTGAATGTCAAATATATTAGAGACTAACAATCTGTGCATGTATTCCAGGACTTGAATGCTGGTTGTGATGAAAATCCTGCTAAATACAGAAGAACCATGGCAAATTCTTCGGGAGATTAGTACATTCTTACCTGTGGTCCTTGGAAAGATGTGAGCGCAAACACTATTACAAGAAAGGGAAGGCACAAGATTGCCTGAAGTATTTGAGGTATGTTTGAATAACCTTTTTTAGAGGAACCTGAGTAAGTTTTGGTGATGAGGTGGTGAGGGCTAAAGAACAAAGTACGGGGGCTGTGAGAATAATAAATATTCAGTGCTATTATTCCATCCAAAACTGTTACATTAAATACTCCCTCATCCCATTTATCAATGAAGTCCATCTACAAACCTGTTCTAATCCTGACTGCTCAGCTATCACTAACACTAGATAAGTGTTCTGCTTCTCTCCAACAATCTCTGCAGGCTTTCTTGTTTTCCCCAAGACTGTCTATCCCAGAGACTCACCTGATTCAGGATACTGATCTCAAAATATTTCTGCATTTCTATTCTCCTCCCTTTCCAGACTAATTCAAAACTTGAAATGTGCAAAGTAAATGTTTTTACTTCTCTTAATATTACAGTTCCCAAACCTTTATTTTGAACCTCTTGGGAAGGCCTGACATGGCCTGAATTCTTATAGTAGTAGACTTCTCTGTCCAAGAAAAGTAGAAGTACCTAACCTAAATAATATGAATGCAAAACAGCCCAGTTAAAGCACCATTTTGCATAATACTTGACTCCACTATCCTTAGATAATTAAGAAAACAGACCTTCACAACACCTGCAGATGTTGAAGCATCATTCATCTGTAAGCACATGAAGGACAAGCAGACCTACAAAATGAGTGAGATGACATGCAGTTCATAGATGCTTTCAAATTTGTTGGGATGAATTGATTCAGTCCCCATACTTCTCCTCAGTTTCAATATTCCTCCTCTTTGTAATTCAAATTGTTCAAAAGTAGAATTTATAATATAGATATTTTCCTCCTTTTCAGAGATGGATGTAGTACAAGGAAGTGTTCTTTGTAAAAGGTATCTGCAATAGTTAACTGGATGTCTGTTTCTATGAAAGAAACTCTGGAGTCTCCTTCCTTGAAGATCTTCAAAAGCTACTTGAATATGGTCCTGGGCAACCTTTACTAGGTGGGTCTTTTTAATCAGAAGCACTGGACAAGAGGTCCAGCCTTAACCACTGTGATTATCACTGAATCACAGAATAATAGAGTCTGTTGGAAGGGACTGTCAAAGGTCATGTAGTCCAGCTCCTCTACAATGGACAGGTATACCTACAGCTAAATCATTGCTCGGAGTCCAGCCTGACCTTGAATGTCTCCAAGAACGGAGAATCCACCACCCCTATGGGCAAACTGTGCCAGTGCTTCGCTACCTTTATTGTAAAAGTTTTTCTTACATACAATCTAAATATTCCTTCTTTTAGTTTGAAACCATTTCCCATTGCCTAATCACAAGAGACCCTGCTAAAGTGTCTGTCTGTCCCCTTCATTTTTATAGAACCCCTTTAGATCCTGAAAGACTGCACTTGGGTCACCTCATAGCCTTCTCTTCTCCAGCTTGAACAGCCCCAGCTCTTTCAGCCTATCCCTGTAGGAGAGGGGTTCCATCCCTTGGATCATTTTTGTGGCACTCTTCTGCATGCATTCCAACAGGTCCATGTCTCCCATACTGAGAATTTCACATCTGGACACAGTTCTCCAAGTGAGGTCTCACCAGCACAGAGTAGAGACAGGTTCCCCTCCCTTGTCCTGCTGACCAAGGTTCCTTTGATGCAGCTCAGGTTATGATTGGCTTTCTGGTTAGCTAGGGCATATTACTGGCTCATGTCTGTCTTACCATCCACCAGTATCCCTTTACAGAAGGGCTGTGATTTTGTGGTCCATAGAAAGATCAAACATGACAGCTCATGGTAAAATTGGGAGTGGACACAATTGTACATCTTCTTCATCATAAGCATTGCACTGTTTAAACACTGTACAGTTATAGCAATGACTCCAGATTTCTCTAGTGTGGTCTCAGCACAGAAACTGGTATTCACCTAATTCATCCTAGCATTTCACAATTGTTAATGGGACATTAGGGATCTCATTCCTTGTTGATGTTATAGATTCAGAATTTAAACTCCAATGTTTATGAAAACAAATTTCCAGTTAGCTCTTGCAGACACCTTTTCAGTGTTACAATTGATGATTTTGTGACAAAATGAATGTTAAGAGACTAATGAGGAGACTGCATAAAAGATGTTACTCAGAACATACAAAACTTCTTACTGCCTCCAGAAAAATGATCTATAAAAAGGCAGGCCTGAAGGAACAGAGAGGCAAACTAGAAAGCAAAATATGCTTCAGCAAGGAATATGGAGAGATGTTGCAAACCCTGAAAACTCATGGAAACATTTGTAAAGCAGTATCAGTGTCATCTAGCACAATCCAAGAATATCCCCAAGGATTTATCGGTCAGATTTGTTCTCAATTCCATCACACATTAACAAATATGAACTGAAAGGATGGTTTGTTTGTTTGTTTTGCCTTCTCAACTATTATTTTGAACATCTAGCATCATTCTAAATTTTCTGATCAATTTTGTGGGTTATCATCAAAGGCCTCAAGCAGCAGAAAAAACTCCCTATTCTTTTTAGCAGTCTGAATCCTAACACTGGCTGATCACTAAATCATTTAAATGACCAAAATTTCAGCAGGAAATGAATCAGCTAAATTATATCTGAGTCTCTCCTGTTTCCAGGCTCTCCAAATAACATTTCTGGCAGCTCTGTTCTGTCCCCAGGCCTTTCTTTGTTATTTGGCTTGATCTTTGACAAACATGGAAACATACTTAATAATAGTTACAGCCTCTCAAATTATAATAGATATGGTAATTTAGAGCAGAACTACAGCCAATGGATACACACTGAAGGGTAGTGAAATATAACATAAGTGCCAAGTAGCCAATTATAATGTATTTTTTTCATCAGTACTTTTATACAAATATTAGCCAGAATAATAACCATAGAATACAATGTTACAGCTGCCAATGATCAATTTTAAAAATAACATCTGAGCTATGAGAGTCAGAATAGTTACATGTAATCTACTTCAAAAGTTGAATATTGGGACTGGGACGAGTGCTTTATGGATTAAAGCAGGTTATTAGGGAGTTATTTCATCATTACAGGCATAAACTTCCTTCCTTTAGGAAGTTTTTGTTATTATTATTATTATTTCTTCGGAAAGCTGCTGAGTGAAACTCATATAATGACATCAGCTGTCAAACTTATCATGTTTCAATTATATTCACAACTTCTTTTGAAGTTCCTAAATGCAAAATGCAATTTACTGTAAAAGGTTTCAACTCCTACTGAAAGGAATTCAAGAGTAGAGAAAAGCTTCATGTGCTTTGGAGAGTTCAGGAGGCTTTTCTGTTGCTGCTTAGAAATCTTATTTGCTGGGGAAATTGGTAGTGTAGTCTTCTAGCATAATCACAAAGAGAAAAGAAAAGAAAAAGAAAACTGCTTATTTGAGAGGTTTGCAAATGTTCTAAT